CCGAAACAGATACGGTCATAGATATGCAAAGATCTGCATACCTCCAACCGTATCTCTTTCGAACAGGAGACGCCTAACTGGGTTACACGATCTACGACCATGACCACGACCACGATCTACGACCATGAACGGGAGGGGCTGCGACGGGCGGCGTGGGGAAGGGAGGCGGCGCGCGGCGTCGGCGGCGGCCCGGTGGCTGGCGGCCACGTGGGCGGCCGCGGGTGCGGCGCACACGGAGGGGAGGGCGGCGCGCGGCGCGGCGCGGGGGCGGGCCGGCGTTGGCGGGAGGCAGCGCGGGGATGGCCGGGAGCGGTGGCGCGGGGGCTGTCTGTCTGTGTGGCTTGGACTGCCCGGCTGAATTTGCCTAAGTGCCCCCACCCGCCCCTTAGCCGAACGCCGGATCAGGGAGGCACTCGGCAAAGGAGGCAACTTTGCCGAGTGCCCCGATCCGGCGTGGGCATAGATTTTTTTTTGAAATACCTTTTGCCGAGTGCCCCTGTGAAGGCACTTCTCGGCAGAGAAATTCTAAAAAATTCAAAAAACTCTTTGCCGAAGCGCCTTATTCTTGGCACTTTCGGCAAGACCCCTTGCCGAGTGCCATGCCCCGACACTCGGCAAAGTTTTTTTTGTTTTTGGCCTCTAAATTTTTTGTGGAGCCCTTTTAAAATCCCCAAATTCTAACAAGGAGTTCCTGGTACTTTAAAATGGCTGCACAAAAAATTTGGAGGCCAAAAACAAAAAAAACTTTGCCGAGGGCATGGCACTCGGCAAAGCGGGTCTTTACCGAGTGCCAAGAATAAGGCGCTCGACAAAGAGTATCTTTGAATTTTTTTTAGAAATTTCCTCTTTGGCGAGTGCCTTCACAGGGGCACTCGGCAAAGGTATTTCAAAAAAAATGTAATTTTTTTAATTCCTCCCTTTGCCGAGTGCCGAAGCTGTTAGGCACTCGACAAAGACATTTCAAAAAAAATATTGAATCTTTGCCGAGCGCTGTGTCAGGGGCACTCGGCAAAGTATTTTCTCAAAAAAAAATCTTTGTCGAGTGCCTAACAGCAGGCACTCGGCAAAGAAGGACGTGGCCGAACACCGTTACGCGGGGCAGCCTATGCCGAGTGCCGCGCTTTTGCCGAGAGCCTGGCACTCGACAAAGAAGTCATTTGCCGAGTGCGGCACTCCGCAAAGAAGGTCTTTGCCGAGTGCTCGATTTTTGACACTCGGCAAAGGCCCTGTTTCCGGTAGTGAATTGATGACCTCCCTCTCTTCCACCTTCAACTTCTATGTCCAATTGACGGAGGGAGCCTCCTTTTGTTGTCTCATGGGGCAATTTTTTTTGCAAAGACTTGTTTGTCTGGAATACGCAAAAGATTGCAAAGACAATTGTTGTACATTAGACCTTTTCTTTAGGAAATGTATATTTTTTTACTTCTTTGCATGAAGCCAAGATGTTAACAAATTGATTGTTGATTAATCTCTCAACTCACAAACATAAGTTGTTTTTGGTATTGACACAGCAAACAAGTGAAAGTTTTGACTAGCTAATTACTTCTATAAAATATGAGATCGATACTAAAAAAAGAATTACAAATTTCTTCGTAGCCAGCCTATTAATAACAACACTGACTTGGGTCGACAATCTGACTGTCCTTTTTGCTGATTTCCTCATATTTACTACCATGAGACAGTGGAATATTGCTTAGCTCTCTTCAACAAACATATTGTCCAGAGTAAAATGGGAAATTGAAGGACCACGAGCCGTTTTATTTTTCCAGAGAGTTCCTGCAGTTGGTTTGGCAGCGTAACATCAGCTTACCTGATTTAAATCGAACATACCACAACTAATAAGAATTGTTAAGTTGAGAGGAATCTGACTAGGTCAATAAGGGCAGCTAGCTTAGCACTGTCAGTGGCATGAAAAAAGAGCAGTACGTACTGGGTCAAACAAACTGATGAAGGCAAGATCAGGACAAGCAAAATGTGCTGGGCAGGCTGCAATCCCCATGTATATATATTGATTCGATTTGGGTTTGTCTCTACATCATACACACACTATCATTCTTGGCAAATAGAGGGAGGAGCGATCGAGGAGCCAAGGCCCAAGAGCTAGCTTTCCTTTGCTCGATTCGATCGCCTTCGCCTGTTGTTGCAGCTGGGTTGCCGGTCCGTCCACCGATGCCTCGCGCCTTCTCCTCCCCATCGCGCTCGCCGCCACGCCAACGCCATGCCCTCCCTCCTCCGCCGCGCCACCGTCGCACGCTCTCCTCCACGCTTGTCGAGGAGAGCGTTGCTGCCGCCGCCGCGCTCGTCAAAACGTGGCATCCCGACGTATCATGCTCCCTCTTCCTCCACGACGCCACCGGTCAAGCGGAGGAGGCCCAGGGCTTCCTGCGCGCCGCCGCCGAACTCCACCGAGCCATGCTCTTCTTCGCCGCCGACACCACCAACCCCAGCTCCCAGAGCGGCCACGGCCTCGTCCAGGCGCAGGAGCTGCTCCAGACCGCTATGCGCCGGCTCCAACTCGAGCTCCAGTTCCTGCTCGACAAGCACGACGAAAGCCAACAACAAGCGGCCGGCGCATCCGCTGCCGGTGCCAGCAGTATACGCGCGGTGGCTAAGGCCATGATGGCCGCCGGCTACGGCAAGGAGTGCATTTCCACCTTCAAGTCCCACCGTCGCACGGCTCTGGCCACCAAGCTGCAGCGTCTCCTCGGCTTCTCACCTCCAACTGCTAGTAGCAGCAGAAACTCGTCGTCGTCGTCGTCGCTCTTCCACAAGCTCACCTGGGAGCAGATCGACGGCAACATCATACCGTCGTGGATCGCCAGCGCCACCGTCGCCTTCAATTCCCTCTTCACCGGGGAGAAAGACCTCTGCGACACGGTCTTTGCCCGCGACGCGGCTGTTCGTGAGGCTGTGTTCGCGGCCATCGCCAACGACCAGGCCACGAGCCTCCTCGGCATCGCAGAGGCCGCGGTGGCAAGAGCAAGGCGCGCCCCGGAGCGCCTGTTCCGGGTGCTCGACGTCCATGACGCGCTCACCGAGGTGCTGCCCGGGCTCTTGTCCGTTTTTGGGGACAACTCCGAGGTCGCCACTAGGGCCGCCGTCGTGGTCACCAAGGTCGGTGAGGCTGCGCGCGGGACCCTGAGCAGCTTCGAGGCGGCAATCCAGAAGGAGCCGTCCAAGGCCACCACGGCCGGCGGCGCGGTGCACCCGCTGACCCGCTACGTGATGAACTACCTCGTCTTCCTCGCCGACTACCAGGAGGGCCTTGCTCTTATCTACGAGCAAGCTGATGCAGAAGGCGCAGACTACACCTCGTCAGTTTCTGGCAACGTTTCGCCGGAACATTATGCGCTGTCAACGACATCGTCTCCGTCGTCGAGCATGTCGTCGTCGTCGTTTCACAGTTACAGCCCGATCCACCGGCTGGTGTCGGTTCTGCTGGGCAAGCTGGACGCCAAGGCCGGGTGCTACCGGGAGGTGGCGCTGAGCTACCTCTTCCTGGCGAACAACACCAAGTACGTGGCCAACAAGGTGGCCGGCAGCGGCAGGCTGCAGGGGGTCCTCGGGGAGGAGTGGGCAGAGGCGCAGGGCGCCAAGGCGCGGGCGCACGTGGATGTGTTCGTGCGCGCGGCGTGGAGCAAGGTGATGGCCGCCATCTCCTCCGTGCCGCAGGAGCCTGAGGTTGTGGAGGCGGCGGTGTTGGAAGCGGTGGGCATGCAGGATCAGTGGGTGGCGGCGGACGAGGAGATGGGCGGGGCGTTGAGGGCGGCGGCGACAGCGGCGGCGGTGCCCAAGTACAGGATGTTCTACCGGCGGTATGGTGCTGCAGTACGGCTGACGCCGGGCGACGTGGTCACCATGATCGCCGCACTCTTTGGCGGGACTATAAGCACTCCATGGCATCAGAGCCGCTGCAGCACCATCTCAAGGATCCAAATTCAAACACAAACCCAAGGAGACCGCAGCAGCTGTTCGCCTGACAGAGAAATCATCAGGATGTACAATTGTACATAGCTCAATAGATCTAGAGAATTCCTTGTATCAATACAAATGTCGTTCCTTTTCATTTTCCCCAATCACATGTTGTTAACTTTGAGCAGCATTTGAAGGATTGGCAATAACATTCAAGCTGATTAAATGTTTCATTTGATCACATTGGACTACTTCCGCTACAGTACTAGGTATCACCTGTAACTTGAAAAGTTTTCTTCTTGTTAAGCAGAAGAGTTGTCCTTCAGAGATGATGGAGCTCAATGGTAATAATACCAAAAAAAAGTTTTCATTTGGTTAAGCAGAAGAGTTGTCCTCCAGAGATGATGGAGCTCAATGGTAATAATACCCAAAAAAAAAAATAGTGAATGGTCACTGGCTCCAACTTTGCTTTACTTTGTTTGAAAGGACATAGTGGATATATGACGTGTAATGGATGATGAAATGAAAGACTCGGTGCCTGGAAACTGGAGGAGGGGAAGCAGGACGGCCGGCCGGCCGGCCGGCTAGCTTTGGACCAGGTTCTGCTTTGCTGTCGCTGGATCGCATTCATCGTCATAGATTGCTCAGACACACAGACCAGACAGCAGACAGCAATGCATGTCAGCTGGATCATACATTATGCTACAAAGGATGACGCGCAACAATATACAAAACCAGCTTTCAGCGACCAACGCTAAGGTAAGCTATTTCTCCATCGTCCGTGTCCTGCCCTCTTCGCACACCTCTACTAATAACCTAGTAACAATATACTAATCCCAGTCCCATCGTGCAATGCAAGCACAAGTTGTTTTGTATACACCACATCCACATCGTCACCATTAACCAAGACAAAGTTTTGCAGTACTCTTCCATTTGTTCATTGTTGAAAACAATAGCCTTGCCTTGGCCGTCATGTATCATACAAGGCATCGACTAAACAGCCACACACCATCACACATATAAAAAACACCACAAATGAAGGAACCTCATACAATTGTTTTATCTTGTTTATCGTTTTCATCGTTCAACTAGGAAGCTAATAAACTTGACAGCTCCGCATCCGTCAGCACCGAGGGAGCAACTTTCACCTGCTGTACTACAAAGCCGGCCTCCTGGCATGCCTTGCGGAGAAGCTCCACCTGCGAATCCCCATCTGGGCACAGCACAACCACTGCACCTCCACTGCCAGTGAACTTGGATGCCGCGCCCACGCTGCGTGCCGCCTCCACCATCTTTATGTTCACCGAACCAAGTACATCATCCCCAAACATTTCCCTACAATCACATAACCAATAACCACATATGACTCTGTCTTACCTTGCCATTCCATGCATGTGTTCAGGCAGGCACATTAATCTTACCTTCGCAGATCAAAATTTTTATTCATAAGTCTCGCTAGCTCAGTATAATCCTTCTGCAGCAAAGCCTTGTGGCCATCGAATGCTAGCTGCGCTACTTCCTTCATACTTGATATTATAAACTCATCACCATCAAGTCATCTTTATCTGACACTGCTATGGACCTACGTTAAAAAAACATTGATGGCTGTCAACTAGCAGGACTCAAACATCTCAATATTATTTTGTGGCATGTGACAAGATTAAAGAATGAATTGCAGTTTATTTATAGATTTAATTCAGTAAGAACCTTGCCAGAGTAACTGGGGTTCTCTGCATAGATGAGGTATAGAGGAGGGAGAAGATTCACATCCAATGGCATGTATATGCCATGACCCAGCTTGTCCATATGCTCCTGGCTAAAATCCTGAGTAATACACAAACTGAAACATTAACAAACAGAGTTCAAACTAGCTAGCAGTACTTATGCAACAACTAATACATGCTTGTATTAGTTCACACTAGCTAGAAGTATGTTTGCAAGACCTATACTGTCAATAATGAATGCTTGTATCACGTACCATATAAACCAGTCCCCCATAAACCTGTGCCACTCGGTCCTGGAGTCCAGCAACAATTCCAACCTCTTTCTCAGCATTGAGAATTAGATTAGGTCTCATTTCAACTTTTATTAGATGCCTGACATCATAGAAGTCAAGAAGGCAGCTTAGAGCAGCACAAACAATCGCGCTCGAACCCGACAGCCCAGCCTACAGAACAAAAGAATCAAGACAATATGCATTTAATCTCCAACTCATCAGCATATCAAGAAAATGCTTTTAGCAAGGATTAATCTGCAGCTGCCAATATGTAATGCGAGTAATGGAGGGAAACAAATGAAGCGGATCCCGACTAGTTACCTACCGAGGAATATTAGTATCATATGACAAGGTGAAATTTTCAGCTTTTAAACTGATATTATTTTGAATACAGTGATTGTAGAAAACTTTACAGATAGCCATCAGCAGCCAGACGCCACCATAATATCCTTCACTTTGCAAACGACTCACCTAAACAAAAAGGAAAAAAAAGGGTAAAGTACACTTTCCAACCCTCAACTCGCGCCAAAGTTCGATTTTCAACCTTCAACTATGAAACCGGTTAAGAAACACACTCCAACTATCAAAACCAGACAAATTTGGTCCTCGGCTGGTTTTAAAAGCGGTTTTCTATTCTCGGGAGGCGCCGAAATTTTATATTATTCTTTTGAGCATCTTAACATCCTCAAATGAAAAAACTCAAAACTACAGAGTTGTAGATCTCATTGAGAGCTACAACTTTGGTATAAAAAATATTTTCATTTAACTTCATATAAATAATATATTAGTGCTCTAATGCGGCAAGCGCTAGTAGGCGATTATTATGGTGCTGAAATTTTATATTATTTTTTCGAGCATCTTACTCTCCTCAAATGAAAAAAAATTAAAACTATAAAGTTGTAGATCTCATCGAGGTCTACAATTTACATATAAAAATTATCTTCATCCGACATCGTATTGAAGGGTTTTCTATTTTTTGAAATTTGAGTCTCGTCACACGACAAAACAATATTGTGGCGTGACGAGACTCAAATTTCAAAAAATAGAAAACCCTTCAATACAATATTTTTCTGTGTAATCGGTGGCAGTGGTGGGTAATTTCCCACCAACTCCACGAGGAGGTTCATATTGAGTGGTTTTGGAGCTACAAAAGAGGTGCTCCAAAACTCCACCTCCATTTGTACTATAGCTCCATGGAGTCGGCAGTTCCATAGAGTTTCGGAGTTGGGGTGTTTGGCTGGATTTTTTTATGGAGTTGCTGGAGTTTAGGAGTGGAGCCATGCCAAACAGGCCCTTAGCCAGCGCTAATTTCTCAAATTTTCTTTTCTACTAGTTGGGCCAGTTGGTCGGCCCACGGTCTAAAAAATAGGCTTGGTTTCAACTCAAAATTTGTTCCGAGCAAAAAGAGAGAAAAAAAACAGTTTGCATCCACCCGACGTGATGACCGGTTAGGTCAGACTGGGTTTTCTTTCGTGAGTCGGATCGAGATCGTCGAATCGGATGATCCATGATCAGTCAAATAGTATAGTATTGTCTAGATATTCAATGTCCTTAATTGTTCTCGAGTTGTTTTATTACTAGTATCTAATTATCTCTTGATCTAATATTTATACGTGGATGGGCTTCCTAACTTCTGCTTCGTCCTCCTGCACAGACTTACACGGATGCTTATACAGTATCCAACATACTCTCACAAGATCCTTGTTCGATTATGAATCAGAGAAAAAGATTATCTATATTCATATTTGTATATATCTATTTATATTTGATCCATTTTCATCTCTATAGTTGCTTGGGTTTTGGACACCGTTTTGATTAAACGTCCATCGAAGCAGCACGTAAGCTAAAAGTTACAAAATCACTAGAAATTTGTTTACGGCTTCACCAAAGTTCGTATGTAGAATCTTCGAAAACATTTGAAGGCATTCTATGCTGCAGGTGAGAACATTATTAAAAAAACTTAAATAACACATTTAATCCTATTTTTTATGTGACAGGTGTATCTTTATTTCTTTGTGTTATCACATCGACAAATGTGAACACATTTAATCCTATTTTTAATGTGTAAGTATGTCTTTCTTTCTTTTACTTTACCACACCTACATACGTTTTTTCCCTATTAACCTTATACACCTTGTACACATCATCAGGTTTATTTTTAAGTTTTATATAGACCTGGACATAAGTCTCCTCCATAGTTTAAATTTTATTTTTTCAATCTTTTTTAACCTACAAATATGTTTTCCGTTGAATTTCCATTATTACCGGTAGTTAGGCCATTTGCAAATGTAAAGCACCCAACTTTGGGTGTTGTTTCTCCTATAGCACTTTGTATGCAAGCTTTCATTTTTTTTTCAATTTTCTTGTAACTTGACCTTCACTAAAAAATTGGTCAAACGATGGTAATGCAAAAAAATAAATAATATGTTTTACTTGTGTTTCAATACATCCTCTTATTTTAGTGAGGTATAGCAAACTGTGTGTACCTAGAATACCATGTTGTTCTATTAGTTTCGACAGTCATTTTAAATGTGAGAAATTGTGTTATATATTTATATTCTATTGCTGGTGGTATTGGATAACTAGTGTATCATACCTATTGAGAGTTTTACTTTCTCATGACTCATTGTGTCACATGTCTCAAAATTTAAACATGCGTTGAAATCTTGTGTGTTGTACATTGCCACATTGGTGCGTGTATGTTCTACTAACTCATGCTCTACCCAATCTCGACAGTGCACATACACTTTGTCACCATTTATTTTATATAGTTGCATTAGTTAATATTGCCCCTTTATGGTAGCCAAACAGAATACTTTTCACATTATAATGTACTTTTGATTTTGAGAGAAACTTATGACGAACTATATTAGTGTAAACTTTATTGTATCATGAAAGATAATGGACAAAGAATTTAAAATTCCTATTTTCCGTGTAAAAAGATCAACCTTGTAGAGCAAGTTTTCCCATTTTGTTTTCATTGTGTCATCATTGTCATTTTTAACCATGAGAATTTTTTATATTAATTATTACCTCATTATGGCCCTATTCTCTTGTCTTATAATCCGTACTTTTCAGCTTGTTTTTTTAGCCGGAACAGTGTTTTTCTCTCACAACAAATCAGCCGGAACAGTGTTTCGGCTTGTTTTTTCAGCGAAGCGAACGGGGCCTATTTGTATCTGCATTTTTATAGTTAGCAATATTCTTCATACAATAATCTCGGTGACAAAACATGGGAGGTGGAAAGGACCATCATCATGCTGACAAAGGATGCTATCCCCCTATTGGCTATCCTCCAGTACATTCAGCTGGATCATATGCATCTGCACCTCCAGTTGCATATGCATATCCATATGCACAACATGGATCTTTATGTCCACCACCATTAGGATCATATTCGTATCCTTCACCTATGTACTCTTCGCACAATGGTTACCCACCATCTGGATATCCATCATACAATCAAAGTGCTTACCCATCGATGGGTGGCTATCCTGGTGCTAGTTTATATGCTACTCAACATCATGGTGCGTGTGCATTTATCATTTTTTTCTTCATATGCACCTCATCATGAGAGTGAGATCAAATTAAGAAGGATAACTAATCACATGGCCAAGTGTGTCAATTCCTGTTATTTGCATGGGTGTTTTACATATTAGCATTGTTAGATTAATGGTACTAAGTATTATACTATATAAGCCTAGTTCATGCGTTCACTTTTGTTTAACTATAGTGTGACATATACATATATAACTTGATACCACAATGTTGCATGTTCTTAGGTCATGGATCTAACATGGGTGCAGCACTTGTTGGCGGAGCGACAGCCGCCGCCGCCGCCGCCGCTGCCTATGGTGTACATCACTTAACCCATGGTCATCACCCTCATGGTCACCATTTAGGGCATTTTGGCAAGTTTAAGCATCATCATCATGGATACTATGGCAAGTTCAAGCATGGAAAATTTGGGAAGCACATTGGGCTTGGAGGAAAACATGGCCTTCTACGGTGGAAGCATCACCATCATGGGTTCTTTGGAGGAAAATACAAGAGGTGGAAGTAGTCAAATTACATGCAAGAGTATGAAATTGGATCATGCAAGTACGATAACTAACATATGTAAAATAAAAATGAGTTGGTTCATATATACGCACATGTAATGCTTTTATAAATTACTTGTTATATGTGTCATTATCAATCTACAATAAGAATACATATTTTATTGATGGCATATGCTGGGAAGAATTGCTACAATATCTATGAAGTGTTTAATGTTAAACGTGTGAGCAATACCTTTTTGTCTATGTCATTATTTGATAATATTTCCTAACATAAATACATTTTCAACAGATAAGTTGATACCTCCCTCCTATTTTTGTTCAAAATACGTAAAGTAAATTTCAACACATAATTCAATACCTCCCTCCTATATTTGTTCTAATATGTAGCACCCTTGCCTGTTAGTAGCTTGCTAGTAGTGGTGTTGTTGGCCTATGTGACCCAAGAACCACCTTAGAATCAAAATTTAGGAGGATGATGTCATCCTATAATCGTCATTGCACCAAAAAATAGAACCTTAGGGTTAACCCATTTATACAAAGAGGGGATGGAGGTTTAAGAGAGGCGTTATGCATATTGTAAGGTCGTGATAACCGACTAGAGGGGGGTGAATAGTTGTTTATAAATCTAATCATGTTGGCTAGTCGAAACAAATATGGAATTATACTAATCGTCTATAGCCACGACCACACCCAACTATCTATTTGATCAAGCACCTTATAAAAGATACGACACAAGGAAAACTAAGGTGGCAAATTGGTGAGAGCTCACCTAATCAATTCTAGAGCAAGGTCACACAAACCTTGCAGCTATTCAAGCAAGCACAAGGGAGCTCCTACACATACTAGTGAACAAGAAAGCACAAAACACAAGCTTGTTCTATCTGGCTTAGAGATCAAGTGAAGACTTGATAGATAATTAGTGAACAATGAACCCACCTCAACATGGATCAGCAATGATAAGTCATCGATACCATGGGAAAAAGTATTGTGTCTCCATTGTGGTGATCTCTTAATCTCAATTTTCATTCAGGTTTTACTTTGCGTTGTTACATTATTCTTAGACTTGATTTGTGGTTTGTCACCCTATGTTTCAAACCTTCACCTAGCATAGTGAAAGTAGTGTATTAGGTTCTTTTGTGTTACTAATTAGTTTTTCCTAGTGCTGTGAATTTTTATTGGTCACCGTCTGTTCACCTCCCTCTAGCCAGTTCCTTAGATCCTACACATGGCAGCGTTCCGGCATTGCAAGACCTCCAATGCCTACTACCATGCCTGGCGATAGTACCCTATCGCATTACCGAAGTGTGTGCAGCCTGCGCGGGGTGCCTCCCAGGCCACATGTTCGGCCCCAATGCGATGAAGCAGCACCGGCGCCACCGAGGCAATGTGCCCACGGTGCCCAAGACAACGTCATATGATCACCAATCCTGGCCCACCTACCTAGTCATGAATGCTTGCTGATTCTAGGCTACGATTTCAATGCCAAGTGCTTTTTTGTGCGGATGGAGTGGAATGCACGGTTGAGGTATGGGGAACCAAGGGTATCTTTATCTTTCTACCATGGTCCTAAAGTTAATTTAATGGAAGAAGTAAATAGAAGTGATGAAAGTGTCAAATAAGGAACGAAAGATAAGTCTAGTGTCAAATGAGAAAGAATGAAATTTCCAGGGCCAAAGAAAGATGAAGTAAGTCTCCAATGAGGAATTTTCTCAAATAGATGGGGATAGAGGCTAGGAAAACACAAACTATAATTGTTGTGACTACCTTTGTCAAAATCACAACCTTCTCACCTGCTAACGTTTTAGCCACTTTGTGAATGAAAAGAAGAACAACTTAAGCTTAGTAATTTCCTCACAGATAAAGGGTGCCCCCGAGTATATGCATGAAAACTTAGTTAGCAAGTTAGAGAGGCATTGATGACTTCTTGGTCTCAGACCATTCTGAAATTTCTTAAAGATTTGATTCAACTACAAAATGAAAAAGAATATTCTTGATGTGAACCATTAATCTCTTGTTTGGCAGAATAAACCATACTCTATCTATAAAGACAAAAAAATGATTATCCGGTAATTTGAGCTTGCTAATCCATAGCATAAAATTTCAAAATGAGCTTATGGAGAAGATAGTTTTTTTGGCTAAACTTAGACCGCATAAATGTAACTACGCCTCTACCACACAATTTGTGTTCCCATCCATGAATAAAAACACCACCACACAAAACTACTTACCTTCAAATTAAACTATCCACACAATGGGGTACCTACTTCTGTTTGACCATTCCTAAATATATAAGTTGCATGTGTACACATTGTTTTATGCCTTGGTGTTGTCGCTTCCATTTGAGAGCAAATGGATAACGGCGATATCAAATATGATGAGGTCAATTTGTTTTGTTTATTCTTATAATTTATACTTTGATTTATGTAGATAGTTTTTTATACTTTTCAAGCCGATATGAAGAGTCAGCCATTCATTAAAGCTCATACCATGTTTCCTCTCAATATTATCTATTTGGATTTTTGTGTTCCAGGAATATGTATTGAATGCACGAGGAATTAATCTCTTCACATGCCAATGGAGACCTTTGAACTCTGAACCAAAAGCCCTGATCTTTCTATGCCATGGTAACTTGGTTACTATTGTGATGTTGTTTTTTAATTTTCCAATCCAAGTGAAGTTGCCTGTTACATATGTATTTTATTTTTTGCTACCTTTTTTAGGATATGCCATGGAATGCAGTATTTCAATGAGAGGTAAATATTATAATTTGGTGAATTCCATGGGCACTTTTACTTAAAATTATAATAATGTCATTGCATCTTGATCGCGAATGGATAGTGATGAGTTTAGACTAACTGTGGTAAAAATATGAATTGCATCTTGATCGTGAATGAATAGTGATGAGTTTAGACGTACTAACTATGGTAGAAACATGAATGATAATTAGAAACCCCCATAGACTTTCAAGGTCATATTAGGGTAATATAATTACATTATAGTTTAACATATGTAGCATAAATATTTTAAAAGTCTCATAATTAGCTTATACATATTGGGATTATTACTTTTAGGCACCGGTACAAGGTTGGCGCAGGCTGGATTCGTAGTGCATGGAATGGACTATGAAGGCCATGGAAAGTCTTCTGGACTTCAAGGATATATTAGTAGTTTTGATGACATTGTGGTTGATTGCTCTAAGTACTTTGCAAGTGTCTGTGGTATGTTTTACAAAATTAATACAAGTGTCCTGTTATATTGCCCTTTTTTAACCACTTCATAAGAAGCCATTTATTTTCTCTTAAATGACCACATGCTTTAAGAAAACAACTTAAAAAGAAATGTATATGAAATTCCTATCAATCTATTATTAGACTTGATGTAACATTTTACGAACTAATAGCCTGATTCCCCTTGTATAGAGAAAGAAGAGTATAAGAAACAAAAGAGATTCTTGCTTGGAGAATCCATGGGGGGAGCAATTGTGCTTATGCTTCACAGAAAGGAACCTACCTTTTGGGATGGGGCCATTTTGGTTGCTCCGATGTGCAAGGTTACTTTCCAACAATTTGTCTTTTTTTCAAATTTCTTTAGGTGCATTGGCATCTTTGATAAGTTGTCTATAGTTGTTCGTCATAGGACACTATAATGTATGTTAGGTTTGATCATGATATTGATTATTGATGTTAACATTCGTGTAGATAGTAGAAGATATGAAGCCTCACCCCATTGTGATTTCAATTTTAAGTAAGCTCAGCAATGTGATCCCTACATGGAGAATCATTCCTAATGAAGATATCATAGATAGGGCAATTAAAAGCGAGGAGTGGCGTGAAGAGGTATGGTAAAAGATAGGATGACCCAATCCTAAAAGCTAATATGTTTCATGGAAAACATTTTTTGTGCTACTTGTTAATACCATTATTTATTATTAGGTAAGAAATAATCATTATTGCTACAAAGGAAAGCCTAGGCTAAAGACTGGTTATGAAATTTTCATGGCAAGCTTGGATATTGAAAGCAATCTTGATAAGGTATGAGGAAAGTTATCAATGTGTTCGTTCTTACAATACTCTTGTGATTCAAAAAAATGGCATTTGAGGTTTTGTGTGCATTCAACCTAACAAAATTTGAGCGCTAGACATTTTGGATAAATGATTATTTTAATGCATAGTGTCCACTGATAAAAATACACGCTTTTCATAATAACATATACTGGGCAAATTCAAGGGTTGATGGTGTGTATCAACAAATACCATATAAGAATGGTGTCCTTGAGCAAAATTTGCCTTCTTCTGAAAATGTAGTTTCATAATCATAGAGATTAGTTTGTTCTTGATGATGTAAATGTGCAAAAAGAACAACACTTGCTTTCACAAACATTGTAAAGATTCATGTGGACTACACATGCACATATTTTATTTGTACATGGAAAACCATTGCAAAGTTATAAATGAATAAAAATATTCTAAATAGTTTGGAATAAATGTGAAAATTAAATCATGTGTGGCCACAACTGATTTTGCATCATTGTATAAGATATCATCCATCAGTTAATAAAACTAGATTTTGCATGGATGTTGTATGTTGCATTCTGTCATTGAAACAATAATGCATGTTTGTGTTTCTATGTTCGTGTCTTCATTCCGAATAGGTTACTCTACCATTCATCATAGTCCATGGTGGTGATGATGCTGTAACTGACCCCACAGTAAGTGAGGCTCTATATACATTAGCGGAAAGCAAGGACAAGACAGTGAAGTTATACCCTGGGATGTGCCATGCTTTGACTTCAGGAGAACCCAAGGAGAACATTGATATTGTGTTTGCAGACATCATCAAATGGTTGAATGAGAGGGTACCATCAGTTTCCCAGCTTGGATCCAACAGTGGCATACAGTTACAAGAACAATGTTGTTAGCCAAAAAAAACATTGAGTAGTTGATACTACACGTCGTTATTTTATAGAGAGAATTTGTAATACCATCTTGTGAAGGTAGACGAT